AGAGAGAGAGAGAGAGAGAGAGAGAGAGAGAGAGAGAGAGAGAGAGAAGGTTAACACTTAAAGATTATTATTAGGATACTTTGAGCTGGAACAGAACAGAAGATTCTAATAAATGGGTTAAACAGCAAAAGAAAAAATTGCTTTATTTAAAGTAGCCCAAAATTAGAGTAGCTTAGATGCTACACAGTAGGGCTCAGGCTCAATTCTCTAGTACTTTTTAGCCTAACCCTGCTTTTCACTTTATCCTCAGGGCAGCTGATCACATGATTTAGGCCAAGGAGACAGTTCTGGCCATCTTGAGTGTATAAGACAATATCCAAGGGGTTGGAAGGAGGTCTTTCTCTTTGATGAATAAATTAGGAGTCTGTTATCAGAGAGATACAGAGGAATTGATGCTGTCAGGAAACAGTTTACTGGAGGAGAAAGCATGTAACAGTGTGGTAAATATTGTACTAGAGATCGTAAGTCTCTACTGGTGGCATCAGAAAGAACATATTCCACTGTGCTCAGCTGGAAGGAAAAGAAGAGGCTTGGTAGAGGCTGTCCAGAGGCGACTTTAGGAAGAGGCCTTTAGTCTATTTTGACCCATCTTTAGTTTATACCAAGGGATACTGCAAATGGAAAAATCCAATAAACAAGTGGCTTCAACACTGAGGCCTGAGGCTGAGAAGAAAAGTCTAGATAGAAGTTGCTAGGCTATAGATAGCAGTGCTGCTGGAGGACTGATGGGTGACCTAGTTCAGTGAGAACACAGAACAGGGTGCAGAGTCTGAGGAGCACTGACCTGTTAGTACTGATGAAGAGTTGCTGACAAAGACAGAAAATAAAAATGAAAACCTTTTAATGTTTTTAAGAGATGGAAATAAGCCTACTGGAAATGGCTTTTATAATATCTAAACATGTTATTTGCCTAGTAACAAATGCCTTCCCTAAGATACTGACTTAATGGTGCCTAGTTTTGTTGGAGAAGTGACTAGACCTGAGTGGCCAGGCACAACTGAGGCATTAAATTTTTAAATGACTCTCTTTCTTTGCAGGAGTGGCCACACTTTACTTGCCTTCTGGTTTTCCCGCCAAGAGGGAAAACTAAATCGACAGCAGACTATTGAACTGGGACATCACATTCTCAAAGCACACATCTTTAAGGTAATTAGAGAACTGAGACTTTTTTCCTTTCCATCTTTAGCAGGCTTTCCTAAACACTGTATGCAGGGGCTGAACCTTATTCCCATATGATCCCTTCTTTCTGAAATTAGTTTGCTCTATTTCCTAAATTATGTGTCCTGTTTATCTCTTAGCCTTTAGAAAGAGCTAACCCTGTTCTGACAGCGAAGTAAATACCTCCCCTGTAGAGAAGCTGAATAGGTTAATAGGCTATTTACCTAGGCATTCCAGGGAATAGATACACAATATCATTTACATAAGGCGCACATACAAACACTTATATATGTTCTACATATGACCTATCATCTCCTGAAAACGGCCATGTTGTAAGATGATTGAAGATTTTTATGATAGCTAAACATACATTTATGTAATTTCTAATGCTGGGGCATTTATGGTCTACATGAAAGCACAGGAAGAAACCATTCTCCTCATTTTTAACCTACAGTTCACTATAACTATTTAATACTATGTTTGACAGTTCCAGCCCTGTGGGCTCATGGTGTAACTCAAATATAAAGCACTCGCCTAGCATGCAGAAGGCCCTGTATTCATCCCCCAGAACTGAAAAATGAAAGTCTCAAGCAGAAATGGTGGTACATGTGTGTAACCAGCAAGGGAGGTTAAGGCTGAAAGCTGCCAAGAGTTTAAAGCCAACCAGGAATACATAATTCTGATGGTTCTAATCCCTATAATCTCCTCAGAGTTCTTCTCCAATTCAGTAGTGAAAAATTTGAGTATCTTAAACAGTTCTCTAGATCAGACAAAACCCCAAGAGATGTAAAGATTAACAGTTCCCCAAGTGCCTCACAAATTCTTATCAGTATATAAGCACACAACCAGAGAAGTTTGGTCATCAAATGAACAGAAGTGAAACTCACTGTAGCAAGTTCTTTATTTGTGTCATAATTATCTTGTCTAACAAATTATTGTATAAAAAATGGCTTTCACCCAGTGACTTTATTTGCTAGGAACAAAACACAACTAATACAGATGACAGGGTTTCAATTTCAAATGTGTAGTAAAATATCTACTTCATCCATAAACACTAAGATAATTGTCCTTTGATTAGGAGATAACTGTCAGTCTTTGAACAAGACAGTCTGCATGGGATAAGATACAAAGATGAAGAGGATGCTTGCCTTTGTACACCATAAAATAAATGTCACATTAGCAGAGAAAGAATATGAAGCTTCTTTTAACCAAGTGTGGCTTTAGCACATAGGAACCTACATTTAAACTCTATGCTTCTGTCATTACAACAATTTTATCTTAGACTGAAGCAGACAGAATGGTGGTGTAAGATAAAAATGACTCATGTGATTCAGGCTGTAAATACCCTGGCGTACAGCTTAGTGGTGACATGACTGCAAACTAAAGACTGGAGGCTAGACTCTGGTGTTTCTGGTGTTGCAGTGACAGGATCCATCCAGTGCAGAGGCTGTTGAGAGGCTTTAGCTTCTCCCAGACTGAAGTTCTGTCAGCTAAGGGGCATACAGAGTCAAAGATAGACATGGCCATAACCAGTTCTACTCAGAACTTCTCATCAGTAGTGACATTCATACAATCAAACTGATATTTATTTCCAGTTTTAAATTTCCCTTACTGGTCATGAAAAAAATGTATTTATGTCATCAATGACCTTTAAAGTAAGAAAAGGGTAAAAGCCTATGATTCTGGATATTGGGTTGGCTATAGAGCCTTTTAAATTCTTTTGTTTTGACAACTTTTTGAGGTATAACTTTACCTCAGTTTTGTGTGTGTGTGTGTGTTAGTGTACTTAGAGTTGTGCCATTATCACTACCAGTAATTGGTTATTTTTTTACTCTAGCCCCATATTGGGCACCAAACTGTAGTTGTTTTTTTTTCTCTTTGACTCTTTTGGGGACACACCACCCAGCTCCCAAATAAATCCACACAGAGTCTTATTATTACTTAGAAATGCCCGGCCTTAGCTTGGCTTGTTTCTAGCCAGCTCTTAAATTGCCCCATCTACCTTTCACCTCTTGGCGCTTTATCTTTTTCTTACTTTTGTATATCTACTTTACTTCTTACTCTGTGACTTGTTAAACAGCTGGGTTACTGGCCCCTGATGTCCTCCTCTCCTTGTTCTCTTGCTCCTCCTCCTCCCAGATTTCTCCTATTTATTTTCTCTGTCTGCCAGTCCTACCTATCCTTTCTCCTACCTCACTATTGGCCATTCAGCTCCACAAGCAAAGTTACACAGCTTCACAGAGTTAAACAAATACAACATATCTTTGCATAATTTTACAAAAAGTTCCACAACATAAACAAATTTAACACATCTTGAAATAATATTCTACAACTACCATTATTATATTTATTTACCCTAAATAATAAGCCTCATTACCAGTTTAAGTCATGTCTCACTCTGCATTCTGACCTGTAAATTTGACTTTTCAAAACATTTCATAGAAATACATAGCTACATAATGTGTTCTCTCGTCCCTTGCTTCTTTCATTTAACATAATGTTTTCATGGTTTATTAATATTGTAGTATAGATCAGTACCTTATTCATTGCATTATAAAATTGTATTTCATTTTGTGAATGTACAACATTTATCCATTCATTGAAATACTTGAGTTGTTCCACTTTTGAGAAGAATATGAACAAATACTGTGATTACTATCACTAAGTACATTAGAAATAGTTTCTTCCATTTGTTTAATAGAAAACTAGCTACTTTAACATGGTGTTTAATACAACTACAACTCAGTATTAGTACATTATAATATTAAGGTACAGATTTGTGTGGGCAATCTGTTCTCTGTCTGTCTGTCTATCATTATCTTAATCTTACTATCTCTCTCTTAGTATCTAGGCCTGGCTGGCCCAGAACTTATTCTACAACCACACTATACAAAAATTCATAACTTTCCTGCCCCTAAATATTGGGATTATCAATATGTGCAACCACCACACCTAGATTTGTCTTCAGTTCTCCTGAGTATTATATACCTAGAAGTAGAATTGTGCGATACAATGGTATATGTATGTAGTCCCAGTACTCAAGAGGTCTAAGGCACAAATCTGGGCCAGGCTGGGTAACATAGCAAGACCACATCTCAAAAAAATAAAGTAAAAAGAAGTGACAAAATTTCTAGATCATATGGTAACTGGATTTAACATTTTGAAGAATTATTGATCTGTTTTCCAAAGTGTCCACACCATTTACATCCCACCAATAGTGTGTGAGGATTCTAGTTTCCTCACAACAGTCTAGAAATAGTTCTCAGTGGTATAACACAATCCCTAGCACCAAAAGAGAAAAGAATCATCTGTCTTTTGTTTCATCTAAAAGTGAATGCAAAGTAGTATTTCATTGTATGGTATGGTGTGCTTTTTTAAATAGTCTTATGTAGGTCAGGCTGACTTTAAACTCACTGTGTAGTTGAGGTTGTCCTTGAACTTCTGATCTTCCTACCTTCTTACAGGCCTGTGTCATCGTACCTGGCCTCATTGTGGTTTTGGTTTGCATTTTCTAATGGCATGTTATTGATCACTTAGAATTCTCTTATAACCTTATAGTTGTCATTTAGATTCTTTTTCCTTTTGAACAGAGTTTCCTATAACCCAGACTGGCCTCAAGAATTCCTTATAGTAAAGGGCTACCTTGGGTTCCTCATCTTCCATTCTCTGCCTGTCAGATGGTGGGATTATAGGCAGGCATCCCTATACTCAACTTTAGATTTCTTTAAAACTACAAGAAACATGACGTATGGAAATTGCAGCCAAAGATACTCCAACCCAGTTTGTAACTTGGGGTGCTTTCATCAGATTGAATCTAGTCACTGGGAGGAGGATGTTAGAATATTCTTACCATTTCTTCCTGAATTCTTCCCTCTAAAATGTTCCTTTCATTAGTCAAGCATATAGCATTTTCTTATTAGAACAGAAATATTGGACAGGGAGGAAACTTGTAAATAGAAATTGGACATCAGCAAGTGGCATGAGTTTAAATATAAACTTTGAGGAGGAGCATGGTGATACACACCTGTGATCCCAACCTTTGGGAGTTAGATGAAAAAAGTATCTCAAAAAAATAATAAAAAGTAAAGTCTACCACTTACTGACAGTTTTTTCTTCTGTAAAACGTTAACTCTCAAAATTGTTGAAAAGTTTACAGGTAAAAGATATGTTTATTTAAAAAGGTACATGATAAAAGCCAGAGTACTAGGTATATCTTTAGTATGAAGTTTTATGATCTATTACTAATATTCTTCCTGAAATAAAACTTAATAAGCACAAATTCCATATAGAAATAGCACCCCATCACTTCTTATAACAGTAGTTCACAAACTTTTTTTGTAAATAACTACATATGGCTTTTAGTCCATATTACTATCTATCACTACAATTCTGCCATTGTAGCTGAAAATCAGTAAGACATTACAGAAATAAATAAATATGGATATAGTAGAATAAAAGCTGGTTTGCAAGAACAGATGGAAAACCACATGGGCCTTGGTTTTTTGGTCACTTTTCTGCAAGGAAGAGCACTTCCCCTTTACTTACCAGTCTCCCTTTCCTACACTCAGTCATGGCTGTGTGTGATGGTCAGATGGTAATGTTGATGTTGTGGAATCTTGCTGAAGAGAGGGAGGAAGTATTGTAGGAACCAGAAGGGTCAAGCACATCACAAGAAAACCCACAGAAATGACTAACCTTGACTCATAGGAGCTCACAGAGTCTAAACTGACAACCAGGGGCCTGCATTGAACTAACTTAGGCCCTCTACATATATGTGACAGTTGTGTAGTTTGGTCTACTTGTGGACTCCTAGCAATGAGAGGAGACTCTGTCCCTAACACTTCCACTGGCTTTGGGAACCTATGCCCCATAGTGGATTGCCTTGCCCAGCCTTAATACAAGGGGAGGAACTTAGTCTTAGTCTTATTGCAACTTGGTATACCATGCTTTGTTGATACCCATCTGAAGCCTTCCTCTTTCTGACTTTGAGCAAATTACTTAATCATCTCCAGGTAGTTTTCTCTGCTATAAACAGTAAATTCTGTCTCCCAGGGGCTGCTGTGCATAATAGAGTAAGTAAAGCTGAGCTAATAAGAGGGTTCTTTATTTAGGGGGGACTCACAGATCACAATCCTCTGCACGAAAGGGGAACAGGAACCAAATCTAGCATTTAGGAGAGATAGGAGAGAGAAAAAGAGATGGCACACAAGCGAACACTTTTTTGGTACTCAAGTCCACACCCAACCTGGTCCAGCCTCTCAAAGGCCATTGGCTGAAAGAGGTTCCCCATCATTTCCTCCTTTTGTCTATGTAAGAGAGTTCCAAACCCAATACAAAACTATATACAATAAGAACAGATATCAAGTATAAATGTTAGAATTACAGCCAGCATAAACAATATTAGGCAAGAAACACATGCTAAATGTTTCAATAATTATTCTATCCTAAGGAATCTAAGTCTTATATTAGAAATGGCTTGGTTGAATCATAAGAGGAAAGTAATTATGACTATCTAGTCTTCAACCCCATTGAAGACCTGAGAAGGGAGATGATATTACTTGAGTAGGCAGGAAAAAGTGCAATCAAGCAACTTCCAAAATGTGCAGTAAATGACAGAGACAACTGGCTACCTGGGCAGTCACCCAAAGTGATTTTTGCAGGTTGGAGCAACCAGCTTTGGCTAAGGCCTAGAGTAACTGACAGATATTTTCAGAAGCAAGAAAGTTGTCAAAACCATCTTACCCTGTCTTGGCAAGGTTTGGCAGTCTTTTTTCTTGTAACCCACTTGTTCAGTCCGGACACCATGCATTTTATCAGTGATCCAGGCATGGACAGTTCTTTGCCCAAATGCCACTTTGCTAAGAAGAAAACAAGCTCCATGTGGAGTGTCTTCGATGGTCAACATTCCCTAGGGAATAGATCAGTACTGCTAGGAACAGTCATGTCTCATGTCAACAGAACCCTGTTATTTAAATGCCATATTTTATAGTTCTTTGAAGCGGTTAAAGATCACCTATCTATGAGGAATACAATCTCTGTAAATCTAAAGAACCTGATTAGTCTAACTATAAGTATGACAAATATGAATGACTATTTACCTATAATTCTTAATACCTATATAGCTTAAAGACTAAAACGTCATATTAGAATATTAAACAATCTTTGATTAAAGACGTGCAAGCTCCCAAATTTTATTGCTACTATTTTCCTGCCCTTGAGATTTTCTGTTTAATTCACTCATACTTTGACAGAAGAGCAAGATGCTTGGCAGAAAGTGTTAACCACCAAGCAATTTTAAGACTGAATTATTTGTTTCTCCCTTACAGTGTAGTCTAGTGCAGATCATTTGTGCAGTTTCCTCCTGTGTAGTAGTTCAGAAATCACCTTAGGCTTCAGAATTCTTCATTGAATCCTCTGTACCTACTGTTAAGAGAAACAGTAGAAAGTCTGCAGAAACACACAGCAGGATTAGGGGAGCCAGCCTGAAAAAGACATTTTCCTAAGGCCCGGATTTTATTAGCTAAAGTTGAGTCATGTGATCCACCTAGATCCAAAGGAGGCTAAGTAACTATAATTTTTTCCAAATGTTCAGGAAGAAAATGAAATAAAGATCAAGGATCAAATTATCTGTCACAGTATTATTTTAATGACTTAAGTTACTTAAGAAAGCTAATGGGAAAATAAATTATATTCAGATACAGAGCAAAAAAATGATGTTAAGTGATCTACTACTAGAGACAGTTTAAGTTACTATGTTTCTGTAAAGCTAGTCTTTGTCCCTATCAGCTTTGCAGTATATGAACATTATTAAAATGAAACTCTACACTCATTCATTAGTACCAAAACCTAAGGGCCACTCACTCACTACTGATGATACTTTTTAGCTGAGTTAATAATTTAATTATCTCACTGAGAGTGATGGCACACACCTTTAATCCAGCACTTGAGAGGCAGTGGCAGATGGATGTCTGTGAGTCAGGACAAGTTGCAGGACAGCCAGGACAACATAAAAAGACTTTGTCTAACAAAAATTATTTTTACTAATAATTTAATTGTCTCTATTTTTCTTTTTCAGGGTTTGAGTAAGAAAGTTGGTGTATCATCCTCCATCCTCCAAGGTCTCTGGATCTCCTATAGCACAGAAGGTCTTTCTATGGCGTTGGCATCTTTACGAAATCTCTACACTCCAAATATAAAGGTAAACACAAACTGCAAATAGACTGAATAGATTGCAAATAGATTGACTGGAAAGTATAATTATAAGAGCATTTAGTTGATCTCTGACTTGCCTTGGACTACTTCCTAATGAATAGCCTTTTAGAAATTTTAATGTACATTAAATTGCTATATTTTATTCTGGTAACTGAGGACTGAAGCTGTTGTGTAGCTGGTTGGTACCGGGGCTCAGGCTCTGCTAAAGGTTCTGAAGGGTAAATTGATCTCAGGTCACTTCTATCTGGGGAGGAACTTTTTAAGTCAAGAATTCACTTAAGTAAGCCAATATTCAGCACTTAGTATGTGATCACTCATACTAGCAAGTGAGCAGATTATATAAAAGAGATGTTTTACATTATTTTCCAAAGCAAAATATTCAAAAGGGAACAAATGAATAAAAAAGATAGCTCCTAAATGCTACTGGACACTACTGTAGAGTCTCAAGTGAGTTAATTAAAAAGATGACTAAACAGGCATGACTGATGTTTGTCTGATTCTTGTTTCTGTTTCTAGGTCAGCAGACTGCTGATTTTGGGAGGTGCCAATATTAATTACCGGACAGAGGTTTTAAATAATGCTCCAATCCTATGTGTCCAGTCTCACCTTGGTTATACAGAAATGGTAGCCCTGCTTTTGGAATTTGGGGCCAATGTGGATGCCTCTTCTGAGAGTGGCCTGACTCCTCTGGGTTATGCTGCAGCAGCAGGGTTCCTGAGCATCGTGGTCTTGCTGTGCAAGAAACGGGCCAAGGTAACAGCTGTCCACTCTGCTGCTGCTCTTCTTCCTCTCCTCTCCCCTCCCCTCCCCTCCCCTCCTCTCCCCTCTCTCCTCTCCTCTCCTCTCCTCTCTATTCTCTTCTCCTCTTCTCTCCTCTATTCTCCTCTCCTCTTTTTCTTTCCTCCCAATGTTGTCTTTTTTAACTCATCTGCTGCCTCAGCAATCTAGGTATCCCTGGTATGGCACATATCAAAGGGAAGGCTCACTGAGCTCATATTTCCAGTGTTTGCCCTAATGGCCTTACCAATACATCAGAACATGGTTTTAAAGTCTTTGAGAAGGACTTGTAAGACAGCATTTATCAGCAACCTCAAAAATCCCTACCTAGCAACCCAGAATGTATCTACTGAGCACAAAAGAAGCCTCTTTCTAACAAAATACAGAAGAGAAGAAGCAAGGGGCAATTAGCTGAGTGGGAGGTCTGAACTGCACAGTGCCTGTACAGCCTAGGCTTTTGTGTATAAAAGGAAACATTAGGTACAGAGATACGGAAGATCCTTGAAGACCCCCCAACCTAGAGATGGAAAAGATCCACTCAGACTGGCCAAGGGCACCCAAAGTGTTCATTAGCACATTTCAGTTCCCTGAAAACATTTCCAAAATATGTTACTTTTTTATGTGGTGTCAGGGAATATATGCATGAATGTGTAGGTGCATGCGTGTTCTGGTAGAGACCAGAACAGGACAGTGATGTCTTCTTCTCATCGTTTTTCTCCTTATTGTCTTAAGAAAGACTCTCTCGTTGAACCAGAAGCTTCACTTTTCAACTAGGCTGGCTGCCTACTAAGCTCCCAGGATCCTCCTGTCTCTACCCACTAACATTGGTATTGCAGGTACACGGCGATGGCCTGCTTTCATGTGGATGCTAGGGATTAAGCTCAGCCTCTCCTACTTATAGAGCAAGCACTCTTCCTAGTGAGCCATCACCTCAGCCCCCAAAAATGTTTTCTTTATAATATTTTCCAAGACACTGATATAGAAGAATTCAATTTCAAAATACTGGTAAAAGAAAACCATTGGCTTCCAAAATGTAGGCCACCGAGGAAAATTGTAGCCTTGCGGTATTTTGATTGTCATAAAAACTAAGAATGTTGGTGGTTTCACAGTAAAACCTAAGTATATGTGCAACCTCATTTTGAGATATTCAGTACTGTCACCAGGGAAGAAAACGATACTCCTGAGACTCCTTTGGGACATGAAACTTGGGATTCTCAATGAAGTCACAGAGTCTTAGATATTACTGTGACACAGATTACCCACCTATAACAATGTCCCCTTTGTTTGAATGGAGCTTCTAGAGAGAAAATATATGGTCCTGATGTTACTCTTGATATAAACTCATATCCTAAAAAAAAAAAAAAAAAAGAAAGAAAATATAAAAATAAACTTTAAATTTTAAGTAAAAAAAAAAAAAACTCATATCCTAGCTAGGTCCTTGAATCTTCTCTGTCCTTATACCAGCATGCCATTGTTCTACTTATTTTTTTATTGTTTTCCTAGAGCAAATGGTTTCACTGTTTATTCTCTTTTCAAAATCCTGTCACCTCCTCTATGTTTTGTATTTGTAAGATTAAGCTAAAAGCAAGGTGTGCTATTGTACCTCTATAACCTCAGAACTTGGGAGACTATGAGACAAGAGAATCATAAATTTAAAGTCAGTCTGAAATATATAGGAAGGCCATCAATTTTTTTAAAAAGGAAGAAAAGAAGAAAGTGTCTGTCTCAGTGAACATCTGTCATAGACAGTGTTCTTTCCTACACTGGCCTGTACTCTTGCCTAACAAGGAAGTACTAATGCTAAAGACCCTTTGATATCTGTGTCTCTTTTTCCTTTACCAAAACATTGAGTAAACAACTCATTATATTTCCATTTGTTCATTTTGTGTAAGGACAGCACAGAGGTGACTCTACCCTTTTATTGAAATGTGTACACGAACTACATCGTGTCCACACATCTTATTGTAGATGATAACTTCTGTCATTTGATTAAAGGTACTGTCTTCTAAGTTGTAACTCTGAAAGTACTTTTTCCCCTTTGTAATTAAGAAAGATATCTTTCAAGAAGGTGGTTTGAGACCTGATAAACACATTTGTTGTTGCTCATCACACTTTTGTTCACTTGTGTTAAAATCTACTCTTGATTTTTACTGAGAGAAGTTATGGCTCTGATGCCTGTTTAACAGCTGATTTTCTGTTTCCATTCTTTCCTTATTTGTTGATAGGATTCCTTTCTCTTTTTGTTTGTGTGTTTGTTTTATTTTGCTTTTTCAAGTCAGGGTTTTGCTGTAGCTTTGGAACCTGTCCTGGAACTCATTCTGTAGACCAGGCTGGCCTCGAACTCACAGAGATCTGCCTCTGCCTCCTGAGTGCTGGGATTAAAGGCGTGTGCCACTGCCTGGCTTGATAACCACATTCTGATCGGAAACTTCTGTCTAAAGATCTTCTGGTAGATGGATCATAATCAGCCTTTCTTTCAACCTAAACTCTGAACCAACACTGAAATTATAAAACTGCTTTTGGAGCTTAATCTAGAGTAAAGCTCCAAGTGCCTCTAGCCATTTAGGCCAAATCTTTGACATTCTGCCCTCCTGTTGCAAGAGGAAGCCATTTCTGCCAAAGTCCAGTGGTCTACTGAATGACTCACGACACAGGGTATTTCTTCTTTGGAGCACTATGGATAATTTTTGTGCCAGCAGAATCATGGGTCTCTCGAGTCTTAGACTGAAAAGAACTATTAAGAGCAAAGAGAACTGAATACCTCAGCTTCACCTGAGGGTTTTGTTTCATTTTTCTTTAAATGTGAAAACAAAAACCTTACCTCATTTTATGGAGAAAGAAGTTCTCCACAGGGAGATGCACAGGGGATTTGGAGATCATTTCTAATCTACCTGAGTGGAAAGTATCCACTAAGTTCAGAGAGTGGGAAAGGATGATGTAGACACATGCAGTAGGCCAGTGTGACTAGGTTAGACTACAGCAGCCAATCTTTGTTCATGCAAGTCTCTGTTCTCTTCCCTTAGGTAGATCACTTGGATAAGAATGGGCAGTGTGCTTTGGTTCATGCTGCTCTACGGGGTCATCTAGAGGTTGTCAAGTTTCTCATTCAGTGTGACTGGACAATGGCAGGCCAGCAGCAAGGAGTGTTTAAGAAGAGCCATGCCATCCAGCAGGCCCTCATTGCTGCAGCCAGCATGGGTTACACTGAGGTAAGAAAAGGTGATAAGATTTTTAACCCCAAGTTATGTATTAAAAGACCTAGGAAACTGGGTTGGGGGGAGCATGCATGCTACAAAATTACCAGCCAAATTGGTGCGAAGCTTTTAATCTATTATGAAGAATAAGGGGATTAAACTCTATAAAACACTACTCAAATACCATGGTACCTAGAATTATGTGCGTGGAACAAACTTGAGAGTCAGCAAGGAGTTTGGAAATTATCTCACACAGCTCCTCCCATACTTTCACCCCTAAGAGTGTGACACTAAGACACAGAAGGGTTACTGACTTGTGGACATATCGTCAGACATTGTTGGACAGAAAGGATACGTAACCCACAGAACCTCAGAAGGATCAGTTTTGATCCTAGATCTTAGAATTTTCTTAATGTCTTAGAACCCTAATTTTTCATCCATAAAGTTACTTAAATCTTTTTACAAGGCTGTTATGAGGATGCTCTGTAAATAATTAACACCGTAGAAATGGTATTCTCTACGTTATTAGTAACTGTGTCAAATACATGGAAATGTTAGTATTTGTGTGAAATGTTAAATTACTGACCATGAGGAAAGGAGAGGAGTATAACTAGGAAGCACAAAAATGCTTAAGTTTACTGTAAACTTTACCAGTGTAAAGAGTGGGTTACATGATTTAATAAATTGAATGGTTAATTGAATGTTGGCTTTGGCCAAATCTGAATCTGTAACCAACCTGTGGTTGTAACCTAACCATGATGTTTCAAGTGGAGTTTCATCTAATTTACTCTTTTGTCCAATAATTTTACTGCCATTAAATCTGATATTTGATTTACTATCAAACTATCTCTCACCTTTATGCAAGCTCTGCTGACTAAACTGAGACACATTTCAGGGTTAGCTTTAGACCAAACATTGGTTTATAAAGTTTGTAACTGTTACCACTATGGCTGACTTCAGACTGCCAGGGCTGCACCACTGAACAGGAAGGTGGGAAGAAATGCACAGTTGCACATGGTGACAATGTTTCAGCCATACAGATACAATAAATATAAATAACTAGTATAGCACAGATGATAATAATAGGACATAGTTAAATAATTCAGGAATTTTAAGAGTTGAGGGGCATTTTTTTTTGTTTGTTGTTTGTTTTTTGTGGTGGTGGGATCAAATCCAGAATCTCACACATTCTAGGAAAGCACTCTTACCAGTGAGCTATGTACCCATCCCAAGTTTAGTACTTAAATCTTTGTTTTTCATATAATTTCCTTGTTACTCAGCTTTCAATAAATGACTGACTTTTTTAACAATTAACTTGTAAAATTTCTGAAAATTTTAGAATCTGCTTGCATGGGCCACTACTCACCAGCCCATCCCACTGCAAGGGGATATTCCAGGGAAGCAGCAATCCTTGCAGCTGACATGAGCTCTCTCCAAGAGAATATGAAGCCAAACTGAAATTTGTATCATCTAGGGAAAGTCTTTTAACTCCCAGTACAATCAGAGTCCTGGAAACAGCTGTCACCTTTGTTTGTGGTTTACAGTCAGTCATTCTCCCTCCCACCTCACAGACAGCCCTCATACTTCTGAGAGGAAAAAAGCTAACAATCACTTTAAAGATATATAGACCTCAGTTTTTTTCCATATTTCTTTCCTAAGTTCTTATTGTCATTAGTTTAAATAAGAATATGTAATTTTTAAATCACATACTGTATGGATTATATTAAAGAAAAAATGTAAACTCTGTCTGGTAGGACAGCTTTCCATCAGAACAGTTGGGGGGTTTCTTTGAGAAAATCAAAACTGATTTCTTTTGTACTTAAGAAAGTTAGCGGTGCTTGGAGGACTGTCTTCCACAGCTCCCAGATTAGTGCCAGCAGCACAGCCTGTCATCTGCAGTGAGCTGACGGGAGTTCTTGTTTCAGATTGTCTCCTACCTACTTGATCTTCCAGAAAAAGATGAAGAGGAAGTGGAGCGAGCTCAGATCAACAGTTTTGACAGTCTCTGGGGAGAGACAGGTACTTCTCTTGGGCATCAGTATCTTAGTGGGATGTTGTACTTATGTAGACTTTCTGCGTCTCTCATACCATTTTTTTGAGTCTGGCATACTTTGGCACTCTGTCTTAAGACTTTTGTGTTGCAGACCAGGTCAGCTTTCCTCACCTGCTTTCCCTTTGAATTCTCCTCCATTAGCTCTTTTTTAAAAAGAATCACCACTCTTGTTTCCAACTATTTTTAAAAGACCAGCTTTCCCTACAATATGGTAATCAAAAAAGAAAATAATGGTGACCTTTTGTTTGTATGATCCTTATACTGCTTCCTTTTCCTTTCTTCCCAAAATAACATTCAACCTCCAGTTACAAACTGTGAAGATGCCCCTTTCATCCACATCTCTGACTTAACCAGATGTTTTTATGGCTATCTAACACTCTTAGGTTAAAGAGTAAAACACTCTTAGGTTTTGCCTTGTGGGTAAAGTTGCTAGCTAGATGCAGACTGATCTCCTGCAATCCCTCTGGGTCTACAATGACATTTTCTTTATCATTTAGTCATGGCTTCACCAGCAGTAGCCTCTTCCTTGTTCAAGAAATGAATGTTGTCTTTTCTCCAAGTCTCCACTGGAGCATCTGGAGAAACATTAGTAAGCTTTGGTGTATCTTTGTGAAACTGGGGCAGGGAAAACAGTAGAGTTACCACAGATATGTGTCATATTTGCCAGGAGAAAGACTAATATTGAGATGGCAAAGGTAGGTAACGTGTTTCACTAAAGAAGAAGGGCATGCATTTTGGTAAAGGTTGAGAATGTTAAAAATCACATAAGAATTTTGAACTTAACCAAAATTTATAACAGCTAGTTGAATTGTTTTCTTTCTCCCCCTGCTAAAATTATACATAGGTTTCATGACTTCTTTTACATGTGTAATGGTCCAGAGCTCAGGAATTTCCTTCTCAAATAATTTCTCCCTCTGTAAAAGCCAAAGAGAGCAGGTGCCAGGCAGCTGCAGCTTAAGAGCCCATGATAGATGGAAGGAAAATGTGCAGCTGGAAACAGCTGCTGTCCCAGGAGCCCCATCCTGAGAGAAGTTAGAGGATGGGGACCAGCCAGGATTCTCCATATGGGACCTAGAACTGCAAAAGGGACATGTTAGTTTACCTCTCCTGTCAGCAACCCTTCTCCAATACTGTGTTGCCATACCTCCTGATAGACCCCTTCTAACCAAGGAGGAGGGCCAAAAATGCCATGGTCCAGCAGTCATAATGGGTAGATATTATAAAGCCAATAATCAGAAAGTGGAATATCAAACTTATTCTAGTGCTGGACTTCAAAGAAATTCTTAGAAAGGTTCAAAATGGTGTAAACTGTGTGGGAGATGACTCACTGGGTACAGCTCACTGCCTGCCATACAAGTATGAGATTCTGAGTTTGTATCCCCAGTACCCACATAAAAGTCAAGCATAGCAGCATAATCTGTAACCCCAACACTGGGAGAGCGGAGACAGTCAGATACCAAGGACTCTCTGACTAGCCAGTCTAACAGAAACAACAGTGAAAATCCTGTCTCAAAAACTAAGGTAGATTAAGGAAGAAACCTAAGACATCAACCTCTGACTTTCACTGGTAAATGTGCAAACACACACACACACGTATAAACTGTATACAGGAGGCTTAATTTTTATTAAGTATGAATTTCTTTTCGGGGGGAGGTTGGTTTGTTTGGGTTTTGTTCTTGTTATTTTTCCCCCTTTTTTGGTTTTACAAGAAAGGGTTTCTTTGTGTGTATCTGGCTGTCCTGGAACTCACTCTGTAGACCAGGCTGGCCTCAAATTCGGAGATCTTCCTGCCTCTGCCTCCCTAGTGCTGGGATTAAAGTGTTTGCCACCACTGCCCAGCTGAATATGAATTTCTTATTCGAATAAAACTTTATAACCTGGTTGGTACAGTGACTTACAAGAGAAAGGCACTTGCTGCCAACCTACCATGTTGACCTGAGTTTTATCCCCTGAACCCACATGATAAAAGACCAATTTCCTAAGTTAATCTTTGGCCTTTACATGTATGCTGTATCATATAAAAAATAAAAGAATAAATATAGTCTCAAAATTTTAAAATATCTCATACTTAAAAGCACATGAATTTTTATTAATACTAATATACCTCAAAAGTCTAAAGATCAAAATTCCATGTCCATTTGCTTATAGTCAGAATTGTGTCATATTAAAGTTGATATTTACATGCAACAATTTTACTTTTAAAAACTGTTAAATGTACATTTGGACAAAATATAATTTCTGGATCTATAAAAAGTTAATTAAGGAAAGCCACAGTTACATACACCTGTAACTCCAACACTGGAGAGGATTATTGCACATGGTCTACTTAGTAAGTTCCAGGCTAGCCACAGCTATGTAGCAAGGCTATATATCAAAACAAAATCAAGACAAAATTATTTGATTTCAGAGAAATTTTGGAAAAAGACTAGTGTCTTTGCTTTGTAAAAACAACCCTACAATTTAGCACTAATGTAGCATGAACTTCAGCTTACTTCTTTAACTGCAGTGATTTGAAATAAGTCTGCATGGTTTTTTTTTCTAATTTATAACACACAATTTAAAACTTACTATGGCCCATTGCATTGTGATATTTGCTGCAATGGTAAAATTTTATATGTATTTATATAAGTTATGTATTCATTTTTAAGCTGGTGGAAGTCTCATGTCTACAATCCTGACTGTTGGCAGAGGATGTTCGTTTATTCCTGGCTGCCCTAGCCCAAAATATTCACACAGAAACTGTATTAATTACAACACTGCTTGATCTATTAGCTTATGCATATTTCTAGATAACTCTTTTTTTTTCTCATAAAACTTTCTGCTTTATTAAGTTGCAATAAGAAGCCCACATGTTAGAGTAATATATCACATTTGTTTCTTTTTCTGAGAGTTACTTGAAAGCTCTAGATAACTCTTATATCTTAAATCAAGCCATTTCTATTAATCTATGCATCACCACGAGGTTGTGGCCTACTGACAAAGTTCCCACATCTGTCTCCTCTGGCGGCAGCTACATAGCATCTCACTGACTCTGCCTACTTTCTCTCAGCATTCAGTCTGGTTTTCTCACCTAGCACTATTCTGCCCTATCACAGGCCAAAGCAGAGTCTTCATTCATTAGCCAATAAAAGCAGCACATTTACAGACAGACTTCCTACACCACCTGACCTAACTGAGGAAACTTTACCAAGGGAAAATACAGTGGTCAGAGTTTACATCTGTGTTACTTAAGAAGAGGAAAGGAAACAGACATTTCTGTCAGTTTACTAACACAAGTTCTTTCTCTCACAGCCATCATATCACACCCCAGTTCCAGAGGTGTCAATATGGGGAGCAGTGAATCTAGAACCAATGAAATGTATCTTAGAATATAATGAAATAGTACTGAGATAAAATTTTACGTATTATATGCCCTAAAATATGATCACTGGAGTATGCTTGATGCTTTTGTCTTCCTTTGGCAGCCTTTATCCCTCTAGATGTCATCTTGCAGCTGGCCTTCACCATCTGGCTAACTATAGCAAGTCAAAAACACCACTAAAAAGGAGAAACTTACAACCATTACTTTTTGTGCCACCACAGAAACAAGAGGTTTTTCCCTCTTATCTCACAGGATTGTCACAGACTTGTTAGGGAAGAACACAAGAAAAGCAGTGAGGTGACACGCTGTCCTGTCCTGCTCCTTGTGTACAGGGACTTTGTACCTGTGTGTCTATGGCCAAGATTATTGCAGCTGTCTACGTGCTGCCCTTCAGGACTCTCTACCTTACTCTCTGGAGATTCATGTTCCAGAATGTAGCCAGAGATGGATCTTTTACATCATAGTCTAAAGTCACTTTCCTACTTACCAACCTTTGTTTACTGTTTGTAGAATTAAATTCTTTTTTTTTAAATTTATTTATTTTATACACATTGGTGTTTTTGCCGTCATATATGTCTGTGTGAGGGTGTTGGATCCCGTGGAACTGAAGTCACAGACAGTTGTGAGCTGCCATGTGGATGCTGGGAATCGAACCCTGGTCCTCTGGTAGAGCAGTCAGTGCTCTTAACCGCTGAGCCATCTCTCCAGCCCCTAGAATTAGATTCTTTACTGTAGTTTAAGACCAGTCATGATCCCCAGGCTCATGTATTGTCTATCTTCTCTGGCAATTCTTGGTAATAACAAGCATACATTGTGTCCCACTTCAGCGCCTTTATGCATGCCTTTGTCTAACATTCCTACTTGTCTTTTTGTACCTCGCATCATATAACCCAGATTGCCCTCTCCTTAGAGGCCTTATGAGATACTTACTACTTCTCTGCCATCTCAATACCACAGAATGTCATTGTTGTGATTATCACATTGTAGCATATTTATGTTTTCCGTGGTCAATGGTGAGTTTGTTGAGACTAGACAGCATGTAACAAATAACTCTATTAATATTTAATGTTTTAGGTACAGTAATCAATTTGTCTCCCCAACCATCTTCCTTCATTGATTTTATATGTTGTAATCTTTCAAGATATAAATAGATAAAAAAAAACATTTGTTTTTCAGTATTCTGTTTAGTGTACCTTAGTGTCAGCATTCTGTCCAAGCCCATCTCTGAGCTATATCATACATGCCTCTTCAAGCATGTATGCACACGTGTGTGCACACACGCATACACCACAAACTATTTGTGTCAGATGATCTCATCAGATGCTGACCAGCTCAGAAAATAAAGTCTGTTTCTGGTCTCTTGGGAAGAGATTTTTTTTTCTCCTAACTGTTATAGTTTATGAATAGTGCTTTTACCTTAATCTCCTTTCTTCTAAAAACTCTTAACAGTTTTTTGATAATATTCATAGAATCCATTTAAAGCAACTCCTTGGCCATGATTTTAAGAAGTCCAGACTCCATTCTACATAGTTGCATTGTTTTGAGATGAAATTGGCCAGCTGCATTAATAACCATGTCTAGCTAACATCTGAAGGTTGCTGCCAA